GAGGGCCAGATGGCGCGGGGGAGGGCGCGCTCTGCACTGGGCAGGGGCCTCGCTGCCTCCCGCCGGACCACACCGAGCCTGCGGGAAGCCATCGGTGATGCCAGCTCGCCTGAGCGCAGCGCTCTCCTTGTCCAAGCCCTCCCCACCCCCCAGCTTCCTGGAGACTAGTTTTCCCACTTTCCAGATGGGGAAGGAGAATTCGGTGATAGAGGGAGGACCCAGACGCTCTGAGTGGTGCAGTTCCCTCAGAAGAGCCCTGGTTTAGCTCCATCCTCGGGGGTCTTCCTGGGTACCCCCAGCATCCTCAGGCCTGGGGAGAAAAGACAAGCCTTTCCCGCCTCCTTCGACGGCTCGCGATGCCCCCGGGGGCTGGGTTGCAGACCCGTGCAAGGGTCGGCTGTGAGCGCGGCTCCCTCCACTCGGGCAGATCTGAGCCACGCAGGGTATTAAACTCGCCGCTCAAAGGCCCGGTAGTCCTTCCAAAGGCACAAGAGGACCCCTGCCCCCCGTGGGGCGCGTTCTTCTCGTTTTCTCCTACATAACCCCGAGACTGGACAGATGTGAGAAGCTGCCTCCTTCCAGATCAACATTTACTGAGCGCTTAGTGGGAGCCGGGCCCCAGGCAGAAGATGGGGAGAGGGTGTGAAAAAACGAGCTGGACGCAAACCCTGCCAGGAAGACACAGTCGGGCAAAAAGTTGGGCTCTTGAATAAATGGGTGATATAAGTATTATGGGACGCCAAAGGGACACCACATCCCACATTTCAACCTTCGGGCTGCGGGGGCTGGGACAGGGAGGGTCTTCGTCTCCTTCCTCTGTGTGGTGTTCGTATTCCTCCCTCTTCCCCCGGGCTTCTTCCAGCGTGGCTGGTCCTCTTCTCTTGAAAAGGAGGGAGTGGATCTTCAGTTGATGCTCCAGTTGGTACCGCGCATCTCACACTCCCATTCGTGAGAGCACCTGTTTGGACTTGGCGTCCCGCGAGGAGGCTGGACAGGTGCCTGGGTATTATCACCTACCTTTTCAGATAAAGAAGGTGATTGCAAACCTCTGCTTCTGTACACGGTGCTGTAGGAGTCGCCAGGACTTAGTCCTTTCACTGCTCGCACAGTTTTCCAGGAACCAAACACTGTGACCTTGAGGAATCACAGTTCTCCCCCTGGGTGCGGATGGCCATGAGAGGTCCAGCTTCTAAAGACAACCTCGGACCGACCATAGGCTGGGCAGACGCCGGCAGCGCAGAGGTTCAGGGCTGCAAAGACACCCGCGCTCCCGTTCGCTTTAACTTTGGCCAAGATTCTGCCTCACTGGGTCTCTAACTCTGCTGTGCTAATCTTAGATTCCACTTCCCTCCCCCCCCACACATATTAAAATTCGTTTTTTAGAATGAAATGTTTCAGTAAAAGCATAAAAGAAAAAAATCGTATTTTAGCATCTCTACATTCAAAATAAACGTTTTGGTATATAACTGCTTCCATTAAAAAAAATCACTTTTATTCTTCAAAAGTGATACCATATTATGAAAACACTATTCATGAATTTCAAGACAGTTTGCATCAAGTTAAAATCGTACTTTAATTCTATTTTCTCTCGAACTTTCTGAAGTCCTTTTGAGCATCTTAACATATTGAGACTATGCAGAAAAAATATATAGAAAACAAAAAATGAGGGCCAGTTTGTGGTGTGGTGGTTAAGGTGGCTAGATCTATATTATATAGCCAACTGTGTGGTTCAAGTACCAGACCTGACAACTTGAAAAACACACTGGAAGTGTGTGTGTGTGTGTGTGTGTGTGTGTGTCCAAAATCCTGAAAAGTCTAGAAATGAAGGAGAAGAAATTGAGGCATAAACATCCCCCATTGGGGGGAGGGGATGCTTTCTCTCTCTCTCTCTCTCTCTCTCTCTCTCTCTAGCAAACACACATGCCCCTTGGCAATTTTTTTGTTTTTTAAAGAGAGGGAAAAGGAAAACCTTATCAAACAGAAATAACTTTTATGACTATTAGATAAATCCTACACATCTTTATAGGCCTGGATAGGTATTGTGATATTGTTCTAGTTCATACTATATCTAATAACAGAAAATACCAGAAACTGGGTAATTTATTTAAAAAAATAGAAATTTCTTCAGCTCATGGTTTGAAGGTCCAAGGTCCAGGTCACCTCTAGTGGGTTTTCCTATTGGTGGCTCCACATGGGCATCAAATAACACAGGGACAGGAATGTTCATCTCTATGTGCTCTTCATGTGTCCCTGGGTTTTGCATTTTTGTTTTTTTTTAATTTTCCCAGAAGGCTCACGTGCCCACCAGAGAAACAGAAAGAGAGAGAGAAAGCACCCCCCATTGGGGGCACAGTTATGTCACAACTCCTCCATTTCTCCATCTTATCAGGATTGGGACATGCACGTGCACGCACACACACACATACGTGCACATGCACACACATGCGCGTGCACAAGCACATACCGTGTATTTTCCAAACTACACACCACATATTTTCCAAATAACAGGGACCAGGATTCAAATTGCCTGGTCAGTCATTTGGACTCCTGCTGCCTTAACCACCAGGGCATGAGGCTGGCCCTATCCATATATCTCTTTTATAATATCCCCTCTCCTTATAAACCCACCAGAGGCCAATCATAGGTCCCTGCGCTACTCATTTAATCACACCCAAAGGCCCCACCTTAATCCCCTCACAACCAAATCCCAGCACATGAATTTTGCGGGAAACATCTAAACCATAATAGATATTGATATCGAGATATATGAATGAACAACAGATTTGACTGATAGATGAGAAAAAACTAATTTATTTTAAAATGTTAATACTTCATAGTTGCTATTTTTACATTTAAAGTATCTTTTCTTTAATGTTTTCTTTATTCATAATACAGCACGTGCACACACGCAAAAATGACAGAGAAAGAGAAAGATGAGCACCCTTCACAGGATCACACCCCGTTCTCTTCCTGCAGTCCTTCAGCCATCTAGATCTTGGGCACCCACGCACGTGCCCAGTGTTTCAGGCTGACCAGGCAGGGGATTCACACCACGTGAACGCAGGGGATCTGACAGGACATTATTGCTCCACCGCTGAGCTACCCAATTTTCTTTTAATAGAAGAAAAGGAAACTAACACAAAACTAAAGCACTTTTACATAATTCTTTACCACATGAGAGAGATCATTTCCTAAATAATCCTACAGAGGTCCAGAAAAGAGATGACAGAAAACAATAGAGTGAAATAATTGTCTTTTATTGGTAGATCTTTTTTTTTTTCAGTGATTTTTGCCATAGGGCATGTGTGCTCACAAGAAAGAGAGAGACTGCCACGCCGCAATCCCTTCTCTTCCATTCTCCTCTTGGGATCTTTGGGGGAACGCACACACGCGCGCCCAGTGTGAGTTTAAGACGCTGGGTCTGGGACTCGAACCATGGTCAACTACATGGGAGTCCAGCGACATAGCCATTACACTAACTGCTGGTCCCTGTAGATCTCTTTATGTTAGAGAGTGGATAACTTTTCTGCTATGACATTAGCACATTTCTTCCAGCTGCCTTTATTCACATCCTATATTTGCTAGTTGTGTTACTGTCTTTCAATTGCTGCTTGCCATTCTATAACTGTAATTCTCATGGTTGTTTGTATTGGATCTGTAATTCAATCGTTCCAATTCCAGCCCTCTCCTCTACTTCTGCTTTCTTACCTACGAAATCCATCATTCCTTTATCAAACATTATCTACCTTCTGCTATGTGCCAGACACTGTGCTAGTCTCTGTGACTATGTGGACAATAAGACAGGCAAGGTCCTGCCTGTTCTTGTGAAGTCAGTGTTTTAGTGAGGAGAGACAAATTAGCAAATAAGCAAGATAATTTCAACAGTGATCAATGCTATTGAGACAGTCAATCCGGGTGAAAAGCTAAAGCAGGATGGAGCAAGACAGGGACTATCTCCAGATAATCGGGCCTACAAGAAGAAGCCAGCCATGGGGCCTGGAGAGAGTGTTCCAGGAAGAAGGAACAGCAAGGGTGAAGGCCTAGAGGCACACAAAAACAAGATTATCAATCTTCAACAAAGGCTTATTGAGTCAGACAGGCTGACAGTTGCAGTCATCATTTCTATTGGGTCAAGAATCACATGTCCTGAGCTCGCCATTTTATCTCTAGCACCAGCTCAGCATATATATAAGGGGACTTCAAAAAATTAATTGAAAAATGAAACTAGGAGTCAGCCAGTAGCATGTTAAGGTGACTGAATTCCATGTGATTGACTGCACAGTTTGAGTCAGGACAGGGCA